AATCAATTGACAAGGCGGTGTGTCTTTAATATTAATATATTCTCTTACAAAATACAAAATGTCCCCCACACACAGGTATCAAAAATAGACTAAACACGCAGCTGCCTGGGAACCGGATACAGGACTAGACTTTAAAATACCGAAGCTTTATGAAATTCGATGCCTTTCTCCAAAAGAAATTCCCGTAAAATATTTAATTTTTGTTTTTTGGTTCATTTTATTTTGTTTTAAGGAATATCAACTACTTAATGGGTTATTTAATACCGACAAGATTTTTCAGATAGCTTCATATGAACAGAATATGTGTTAATATTTTTATTTTTTCAATATTGTGCTGCTGGTAATATAATTTTTCCCAAATTGGTATTGCTGATATTTTTACTATCAGAAACTATCTTTTATGCTTTCATAGTGTTTTGACCACAGTTTGGCGGTTAACTATATTCCCATAGCTGGGAACCTAACAAGCGCTACCAACCCGGTTCAGGCTGAACCTGAAAACAAAAATAATTAAGAGGTGGTTCCACGCTCCCCAAAACCTCTAAATAAGACGTCTGCCGCCTGATTTCGTTAATCATCATACACAGGACGGTAAAATATTTATATAATTATACGTCGTTACTATTTATTAAGATTAGACGCTGATGTTGGAGTGAACGGACATGTTCTTTTATTGATTAAAGAAAGCGTATTTTAGAAGGAAAATCTTTATTTTAATGATCCATTTATTCTTACATTATTCAAAAGGCAGCAAACAGACGTTCAAGAAATGAATGCCTTAATGATAAATGAAGAAGATTTTGAAGTGACAAAAAAGAAAATCCCCAAACCTATCTATACGAGGGTTACTTATTAACCTAAATTGTTCTAAGAGTGGGTCTGAAAAGTTCTCGGCTTGACCATGAGGGAAATGATCTCGAACCATGAAGAATACATGCTATTCCGCCTAGTTCACATCGTTATACAAGTTTTTAAACAGCTTAACAAAAATATGATGATTTTACGAAGTCGATCAGATCGAGAAAATTTTCAGCACCCCCTCATATCATCTTAAAATCGTAGATACAGGACTGGACTTTAACGTACCGACGCCCGAAGTTTATGAAATTCGAGGCATTTTTAAAAGAAATTCTTCTTAAATATTTAATTTGCTTTATTTATTTTATTTTGTTTTACATCATATCAACACCTCAATGGGCTATTCTATGCCTACAAGATTTTTCAGATAGTTTCGTATGAATAGAATATATATTAGTATTTTATAGTTAAATTTTAAAAGGAAATCTTTATTTTATTTTTTCATTTATTATTTTTTATTACATTATAATTTTATTATATTACAATACATTTTATTAAATTTACAATATTTAATTATTAAAACAAAATTTATTTAAAAGATTGTTTTTTGTTTTATTCTTTGAATAAGTGTTTTAGCAAATTTACTTTATTAAGAATGTCTATTATCATTATAAGTGTTATGCCAGGTGTAACAGCAAAATTGTCAAATCTTGTAACATCAAAATTGCCCAATTGTTAGATTAATCTATGGGCAGTTGTATCTTAGAAATGACTTGTTATATTCCGTGCTAATAGGAATATGGAATGGACAAACATGGTGGATAAATAGTAACAGGCTTAAGGTAGAAACCAGTACAACAAGCAAGGAAGTAATAGTTATGCGCACGGTCGTCGCAAGTCAGTACAGTTGTGTGTGCTGTTATCGGAAGGCCGGTAGCCGCCTCGCAGATCCCAACTCGACGCTATTTAGTAACTGCCCCACGCAGTCAAATGTGGCACAAGGCCGAATTTAAAGTGGGGTTCCCGTGTCCGGAGGCTCGGCCAAAAAAATCTCCGTAGACCCCGCATAAACGGGATCGGGTCTGTCTACCTTCCCGGACTAGCCTCGTCCGGGTTCCTCTCTGCCCCAAGGCAGAGAGTTCGACTAGCGCAGCTGGGAAAGATCCCAGCTCGACGCTATTTAGTAACTGCCCCACGCAATCACATGTGGCACAAGGCCGAATTTAAAGTGGGGTTCCGGGCCAAAAAATCCTCGAAGGCCCCGAATAAACAGATCGGGTCTATCTCCCCGGACGAGACTCTGCCTTTCGACAAAGCCTCGTCCGGGTTCCTCTCTGCCCCAAGGCAGAGTGTTCGACTAGCACAACTGGGACAGATCCCAGCTCCACTCTGCTGTCCGCTGTCCTAACGGATACTTATAGGTGATTACCACCTATAGTGCCGCCACTTATGGGGGTAGCAGGTTATTCCATTACATCATGATTAAAGATATATTACCGGAATTCTCCGAGGTTTTTATAACACTGTTGAACTCAGATTTAAACAATATGAATGTATAATTACTCTCTAAGCTTAACAGAAGTATCATGATGAAATCGATCATAAACGAAAATGACATGCTCATCATTAATTAATCATAGCTAAGGATCGGAAGCTCAATGAAATAAAGTTTATATATATATATATATATATATATATATATATATCCCAGCATCATTTTCTAACTTATTCAAGATGAACTTCGCGTTCTCTAACTTTCTGTTCTGGAGTAACAAGTTGCCTCACATGTTTCACGTACGATTTCATTTTCAAGTTTTTTTTCATTACTCTTTGAACTGTCATAGATGAAACGTCTCTCTCCCGTGTCAAACGTCTTATGAATTGAGTTGGATCTTTTCTAATTTATCTCTTTAGCTGAATGATGATTCATCTTCCTGTTATGCCTCCTGTTCCTTTTTTAAATGTTATTCATCGTTCTCATGATGGTTCTTGAATGGCCTTAGAAGAATAAAGTCAGACTATGAATGTTGGTACCATTACTGAAGGCTTGAATGATATTTTCCTCTCCCCATTGCTCAGCTGGGAAGACACTTGATCTGATACAAAACAATTTTAACCTGCTCTCTTTTTAGCTGAAGGACTCGAAGGGTTTTTCATTGATTCTTGAAAAACATTGTGTCAAGATGGCTAAAAGTCTTATCTGAAAACCTGCAAAAAAAAAACTCAATTACTTTAGTTGTTTTTTTAGATATGAAACATTTTGTGAGATGGATTATTATGCTGTTACACTACTTGGACAATTTTGCAGTTACATATGGTATTAGGAAAATTTAATGTGTGGTATTTTAGAAATTACTTATACACTGGCCTAAATAATTCTATATTTATATTTGACCATAAAATTTTCTCTTTTTTATGAAGGAGAACGTAATTTTTGAAATTGTAGTCAATGTATTTTGCGTCGTAATGTTTGTTTTCTTTATCATTGAATATTGGTTCAGTATCGTCGATTGTGGCGTACTTTGTCGAAGGTCTTTGCGTAGTCTATGAAACAGAGGTACACGTCCTTTTGTTTCCATATAGTTAGTGACAATTTTATACTTTTACTACTTTCTTTTTTATTCATTTCTATTATTGTAGTTCAAGTAATACAATAAACATGGTACATTTGATTATGTACTGTCTACTACGACATCTAGTGTAAAATAGATATGGTTGTTCCTTGTCATGGTAGAGGTCTTGCGTGTCCCAGTGACCCAAGTGTGACGCCGTCTGAAGTGGTAGGGACCAGAATGAACGCTACCAACACCGGAAGACCCCAATGGTGTAATAAACAAAGATCTACACGAACTCAACGGCCTAAACCCTGGGTAGAGGACAGGGACAGTCGGGCTGGCGTAACCAAGGCGGACCTTGACAAACCGAGCATCCGACAGCCCGGTGCAACAAGGTTTGCCAGATATCGCCTGTCTCAATCTTTTTTTTGAGATGTGAGGATGACACTTTTGGCCAAGTTTTTGGGCTTCTCCGCCCCATAGAGTTGATCCCTGAAATCAAATTCATGCGAATGGTCACGTCAAATTCTCTTTGATTAATAGCCATTTCCGACATCGCCAATAGGGTGGAGATAGTGAATAGGAAGAAAAGGACGGTGATCCTGATGCTCGGTGCTGAAGACGAATTTATTAATCATTAGATATAATTTTTGATGATTTAGTGTTAAAGAAAAGACTTAAAGACACATTAAAAATATCCACTGCTGGGTAACTTTGCTTTTTAAACCCCGCAAAGAAAATCTATTATAACTTTCCCAAATCATATTTCGGTGTAAATGTATATGCTGAACTCGAAAATAACACCCAAATTTTGATAAAGCTTACCATTTTGAAGTTATCGACAATAAAATTTTGAACTCAATCGCGTTCATTTATCCGCCATTACGGGCCTTGTTTAACTACATTCACCGCAGAACACTTTGCGCGCGGAAATAAATTTTAATAGATTTTCGTTGCGGGGCTTAAAAAGCAAATTTACCCACTGTTGACCAAATATGATTTAACCAACGCTTTTTATTGATTAAATGATTTGTTTTCTACAGCTTATCAACCCTTTGCAGGTTATTTAAAGCCAGAAATATTTATAGATTTCAGGATTTCGGGGTGGAGGGTGAAATAATAATGATTTAATGATACAAATCTTTACTAATTAATCCATAGCTGGGGGAGAAGCGATAGATTCAGAACTAATCAGAATTTGATAAACAAAGAAGAAAGTATAATGTTCATATAAAGTGGGAGACGAATTCCATATTACAATCAATATATAAAATGATCCCTCACTTTGTGGCCACTGTATTTTCTATACATTTACATTCCAGAGAATGTACATAAATCTAAAAAGCATCCGTGTGTAGCTAATCATTATTTGATTGATTAATTGATTCGTTTTCTACGGATTATCATCCCATTGCAGAATATTTAAGGTCAGAATATATATTTTAGATTGTGAGATATAGTTTCGAGTTTATGCTGATTTAGTGATACAAATATTACTAATTAACCCATAGCTAGGGGAGAAGGCATGCGCTGATAGTTTTTCCAAGAGTATTTGCGTGCAAGCGAATACAACGAACCCAACTAGAATTGAAACTCTCTGATTAGCAATTCCAATTCAATTTCTATTACATCAATCGCACATCCAAGCTTACAACAACTGATATTCCCAAGTGATCACCCATCTAGGTACTGACCAGTTTCAACGTTGCTTAACTTCTTTGATTGTATGGGAACTAGTGTTTCAAGCTGATATGGCAGTTAACCACAACACTTTCGTCCATTAGTCATTGTGTGTCCTGCACAATGGTTGGAATTCTTGAACTTTAAACCTTATGTTTGTCTCAGATGGTTGAAAGATTTTTGAATGTTATTTCTTACATAAATATAAGCTCCCAGATTCATTTCTATGCTGGGTCTACTGAGGAGGTTGTCAATGCCTAAAATATGTGCTGATCCCTTCATTCATCTTATATTGTTGTATATTGTTGTTCTTTTTGCATTGTCTTGACTTCATTTCATACGAGTTCATGAGCACACTTTTCTCTGCATACATGATCAGCCAGTCTGATTTCATTGTTATTCCTTGGTCGTCTGTGTCACGCCAGAATGTTTTTCTCGCCTGAGTTCATCCTTCAAGTCTACAAATCTATCAATCGTTCTCGCATTTAATACTGTTGCCATATATGGTCTGTTGCCCCCGCTGTTCATCTGGAGGTTCTCGACAAAATCCAGGGACGGATATGCAATGTGATAGGCTATGATCTGTCATCTCGTTTACAGTCACTTTCTCACAGACGTGCAGTGGCTTCCCTCTGTCTTTTCCAGAAATATTTTCATGCCAACTGCTCTGATGAGCTACTTCGACTGGTGTCCTAACTGCATGAATTTAAGCGTGCTATTAGGTTGGCATCTCGGTCATACCTTTTCACTGTCGAAACAGTTAGATGTAACCGAATCTTCTATTCCAAAAACTTCTTTTCTCGCACTTCCCAACAGTGGAACTTTCTTCCTACTTACTTCCCTGATAGCTATAATTCAAATGTAATGACAATCGACATCTTCTGATGCCTCGAACCTGATCTCCATCCTTCTCTATATCCTTTCCTCAAACACGTGTCCTTACTCTCTGTAACCCATTGCGTGCTAGTGGCACTCCCGCCTTGCTTGGGGTGAAATGCTTAAAAAAACAAAACAAAAAAATTTTTTTTCGGTATTCTTCCGCCATTACGTTTGCAGATCAGCTAGCCTCTACTCTTTATTCATTGATAAAACTACGGAATTAAACGACTGAATTGGCTTTGTTTTCTTCCAGGTTGGTTGCCTTATTTCAGGAGAGATATCCCCGAAAAGGTTGAACTGCATTTGAATACTGCTGTTATATTGTTTAGACCGCTTAACGTTTGATTTTTTCAGATGTATCATTAATGTTATAAACCGTAGCATATTTTTCATTGTCGTTCCTGTTTGTAGCGCATTCACCGAACAATATCTGAAAAAGAATTTTTGCAATCCGTACAATGAAAGGGAGAGTCCACTAACTACAACAGGCTAAACCTATCAGTAATGATACAGTCGCATATCAACAGATGATCAACATTAGAAACCCTGGGTAACTAATATCCTGTAAGCACAATACCAGCTTCCACAAGAAATTAACTGATAAGTGCAATACTAGATTGGCAGTTAGGTCTAATTTTTAAATTTAATTGGCTATATATAACTCAGTTCTCTGATAACAGCTTCTTTTTTCGCACATCTCACCTGTGGAACCCTTCTCCGTCTTCTTGATTTCCAGCCAACTTTGATTTTTACTAATTTAAATGCAATGTCAATCGTTATCTACTGTCTTCTTGATTCCTCTTCTTTTATTCTTCTCGCTCCTTAACAATACTTTCAATTTTTTCATATTCTTTCACACTCAGTAACAGTGACCTTATTGATTTGACTAGGGTGAAATGATTAAAAAATATCCCTTAAACTTGGAAAGCGAAATGAGAATGATCTCCCTTGTACTTTATAAAGTGTTCGGTGAGAAATGTCTAGGTTACTGACTACGAAGAAAGATTCCTGAAGAAGTCTAGTGCGTATAACAGTTGAAAAGTTGTGTGTATGACAACCAAATTGAGCACGCTAATCTGAAGAGTATAATCATAATATTATGGTAATTCCTCATCTCAGTCATTAAGACAATAGCCAGAACCAAACAAGGATCGATCATAAAATGATTTTTCTTAAATTATAACAGATTGAAAACTAGAAGCGCGTAAAGCATTGAAAAGAAAACAAATATAAACCTCAGGTTTCCAAATATTGTTTTCTGCATATTCTTTTACGTGTTTAAATGAGGAAATATTTATCTATCTCGGGGATACATTTTAAGACACTATTTTTAGCCATATTTTTTTTTTGAAACCTCGACTTTACTATTTTAAGCGCATTACTAGATTGATAATTAGGTCTTATTATAGATGGAATGGCTAGATAATTCTATGCTAACAATTTTTTTTCTCGTACTTTTCGCTTGTGAAACTGATGTGGTCCCAAAGTTGGGACCACGGAAGGAAAACACGGAACACGGATTAGAGGTAAGAAAGATATATTAAACAAAAAGGTTACAAAGATAGTGTAAGTGTAAGCGGAGCTTACTATGTGCTAGTGTCCAATATTGGTAGTCGTACGCGGCTGATACTACGGTATTAGAATACTCTCTCTCTCTCTTCTCCTAGAGTGTTATATCGCATACTTTATATAGTCCTGGAAGAGTCCATGTTGAAGGTATGTTACGGTGTCACAACAGAAACTTTTTTTCCGTTTTCCTGCTTTCCAGTCAGCTTTGATCTTGAAAAATTTAAATGCAAAAATCGTTATCGTTTTCTTAATTCCTTTTGTTTTCTTTTTCTCTCTCTTTAATAATATTTTTATTCTTCTCATATTCTTTAACAATCAGTAACTCCTTGCATCTTTATTGCTGTACTTGGGGTGAAGTTATTTTTTAAAAATTGTTGCCCTTATGAATATATTCTTAAGATCAACAAAAAATGATTCAACTGTCCAAAAGCTATAGATTAACACCTTAACATTGAAGTGTATTTCAATCATGTCTGTTTTCACAATTAAAATCTTACAGGTGAAAAGGCTGGAGAGAACCGTAAGTTCTATGCTAACAATTTCTTCTTCAGCTCTTCTTGTTTGTGAAAACCTCTTCTGGCCTATCGATTTCAAGTCAACAACTTCAAAAATTCAAATGCAAAGTCAATCGTTATCTTCTGCCATCTTAATTGCTCTCTCTCTCTCTTTTTCTCCTTAATAATGTTCTTTTTTGTCTATTTCTCATATTCTTTGTCATTCATTAGCCATCTTGTATCTTTGTGGCTTTATTGCCGTTCTTGAGGTGAAATGGTTTAAAAAAGTCTGTTTTTTCTATTTTTCCTTTCTCATACATTCTCTCTCTTTTAAGTGCCTTTCCAGACAGATGATCATGGCTGTAGGTAAGATGAGGCTGTGTGCTGTGATCGCTTTTCTGTTTTTAAGATCTTTGCTTAGCCAAGAGACTCTAAACAATACGATGACTGATCTAAAGACTTTCAAAAAGTTTTAAAATAGATTCTCTTGTCAGCCGTAATAAGAGTATCAGTCTGTTTGGTCATATTTTTACTCACATCTGGTTTGATTCAATTTCTATCTTGGTGATTGCTATTAACTTTATATCTTCAGCAATTCTTTAAACGCTCACTAACCTCCTGTGACTCTTTGCAGTAAGTTTCGGTTCGAAAAACAGAAGTTCTATGACAGCTTTCGACGTGTTTCCAGATATTGTGAAAAACGACCTTGGGTAAGAGGAGTTAATTACATAAATTTTTCCGCTGAGCTTCTAGGCGCTATAGAGAGGAAACCGCTCGCAGAACTCTTAGGTCTTGTTGAACTCTCTATCTACGAACAGAGAGAAACCCAGACGAGGCTATTCCAAAGGGCAGAGTCTCGTCCAGGTAGGCAGACAAACCTGACCATACGGGGTCTTCAGGTAATTTTTGGCAGAGTCCACGGGCTCGGATTATCCCCCACATAAAAATTGGCCTTGTGCCGCATTCTGCCTCGTGGGGAGGTTGGTAGATACTGATCTTATAGGCACTTTAACGTTCATAGCTGATACACATCTAAAGATTCTGATAAATTATTCAAAAATTAAATTGAATCATGCATGGTTTTAATCCCTTTTGACCGGACTTTGTATTATCAAGTTTTGGTAGCATGACCATGACAAAGTAATCTTTACATCATATGGGATATTCTAAACTCTATTTATTACGGCACACGGTCACATATTTCTGGCACTCAGTGAAAATTTCTCTGAAGACTAGTTACAAAACATTACTTCAAGTGAAGACAAAGATTGTAGTTGAATTTCACAAAGAACTTTCCCTTTAGATAATTCTAGGCACTTTAGAGAGCAAACCGCTCGCAGAGTTCTTAGATCTTGACGAACTCTCTATCTACGGGCAGAGAGGAACCGAGACGAGGCTATTCCAAAGGGCAGAGTCTCGTCTAGGTAGGCAGACAAATACGGGGTCTACATATGAGATTTTCTAAACTCTATTTATTACGACACACGGTCACACATTTCTGGCACTCAGTGAGAATTTCTCTGAGGACTAGTTACAAAACATTACTTCACGTGAAGACAATGATTGTAGTTGAATTACACAGAGAACTTTTCCTTTAGATAATTCTCTTAATTGCCAGAGGGCGATGAATATAGATATGGAAATAAATTCTGAAAATATAAAGAGATTTATTAGTTTTATTAGTTATAATGACGAGTATTAATTTTAATTACCCTAAACCTTACTGTGTTTATATTAAGCTCAACAATTTGTTTAAATATTAAATAACTTTCTGTGAATGCTTGCATGTTATTTAATTCCCAAAACATAAGTTTTCAAAGTTCTTTACATGTAAATTGTGTGTCTAACTAACCCGTTTATATTTTTATAGTTCGTCTAATTTTTTTTAACAAATAAGTATTGTATTCATTTACATCGGCCATGAATGGTCGTAAGTTGTTCTCGAATATTCCATATAATATTTTCAGAATGAACTGATTAATAGTCTTGGTAGATTGTCTTCTTGAATGATCGAATTGTTGTGTGTAAATGACACAAGACTTAACAAGGACATCGCAGTTTAATTGATCAAATCATATTCTCACCTTTTGTTAATACAAATGCAGTAAATGAATTAACACAGGCCTTCTGCGAA